AAATGTAGTCTTTGCTGATATGATAACCAAAAGGTTATCAACAAATATTAATTGTAAAAATAGTGAATAATAAAAGTATCATTCAAAGAAAAAGTGTGTTTACAAATTACTATCAAATCGCTGTTCGTCCTAAAGGCCTTTCACACTACCAGTGGACTCTGGAGAGTCCACATCAAAATATAATACTTCAACAATTATTCAATTGTTCACCGCTCGGGTCCAGCCTATCATTACAATTCCTGGTCGTACTGGTGATCCAAAACATACCTCCCAATATATCGACCACCAGCCAGGACAATTCATGGTGGCTTAGCGGTTTTTCCCTCGTAGCGCTGAAGAATTTTCTGACGGAGACATCGAGTTCAAAGCTGCCACAACTCGACAAACCGAACGATCATTCGCAGCACAAACTAAGGGATGGTGGCGCCTACCGAAGAACTTTAGAACGAACGCGAGACTACGACTAACTTGGACATAACTATCTCATCGGATTCAAGTAAGCAAATCGAAATTTAATCATATCTCAAGATGGAACCCATTTTTGAAGAAGCTAGAAAAGGTAAAGATAATAGTATAGAAATAAATAAATTTAGAATTCAATTAGCAATTAGCACTATACCCGAATTCAATGGCAATTCAGATAACCTTTATAGATTTTTAAGTACTGTAGACTCAATTTTAGATGACGTGGATTTTGAGACCTACAAATTTATATCAAAAATTGTTATTTGTAAATTAAGTGGAACAGCTTTTGATTGCATTAGACGGGCTGATTATCAGTTATGGAATAATGTCAAACCTATTCTAATTAAACGTTTTAAAGATAGAAGGTCCATCGCTGAGTTACATCACGAGCTAGCAACAACAACAAGAGAAAATGGGGAATCGATTGAGAAGTTTGCAGAGAAAGTTGAGAATTTGCTTACGTTAATAAACAACGAATGCTATTTTACACAAAATAAAATAGCGTATCCATCATATTGTGACTTGGCTTGGCAGTTTTTGTTAAAGGCCTACCATTGGACTTGAAAATTATAGTTAAAGCAGCCAAACCGGAAAATTTGAAGGATGCTATGCACATCGCTGCAAAGGAAGAAAAAATATTTAAACATCAGATCTGATAAAAAATACATCCATTCGTCACTTGCAGATACTGCAAGAAAAGGGGACACCACATTAACCAATGTCGAAAACTTACAAATAGGAAAAGAGAGATGACAAACTTAGAATCTACAATGGTGGAATGACGACGATAGAATGGATACGAAAGTAATAAGGATCTGAACTGAAATACACAAAAACATATGATGATACATACAAGCAGTCATAACAACTAAAGAAGAGTCCGAAGAGTCCGAAGAATCCGAAGAATCCGAGAACAAGAAGAATACAAAGAAGAAAGTTTGACTCACAACACCAAATAGAAGAGTTGACGACAATCGCTGCAAATTCATACGAAGAAGAAAATGATCTATATGTGGCCGAA